TTCGTAATAATTATACACCTTATTTTTAATAAGGATAATTCTACTATAAAAGAAATAATTAGTAAAGAGTATTATTTACCTAGTACTTTTTAGAGAGGCTATAAAAATATACCCCTATATTCCTATTTTACTATTATAAAGAAATAATAAGCATAAGTAGGCTCTATAGAATAGGCTAGTTAAAAGAGGCTCTATAATATAGTTTAAGGGAATAACCCTTAAAGATAAAAAGACCTTTACTAGATAATTATAGCTTCCTTTAAGAAACGCGGGTCGAGATAAGCCTATCCTAATAAATAGGAATATATATAAAATGCATAAGTTAATTACGAGTAGAACGGATACCCTATTACTTATTTTAGCTTAGCGGTTCTAAAGATATCCGCGATATAAGAATAGGTAGGGTATAGAATATTCTAGTTAAATCTACTACTTATACTAGAACCTATAGTCTTATATTAACTATTACGCTATAATTAGACTACCTACTAAGTCCGGAGGACCTACTATAGATAGAACTTTTTAAGCACTATAGAATATATTAAAATATTTACTAATTAGTTTACTAGTAAGCGAGTAATAGTCTATAAAAGATAAAGGATTTCCCTAGGAGTAGGAGTTAGAATAAGTAAGTTTATAAGTATCTTTTATAACGCTATTCTTTTAATATATTATTTAGCCCCTTATATACTCGTTATAAATTCCGGACGAAATCCTACCCTATACTCCCTTAACCGCCCTTTACGCTTCCGTTATTAATTACCCGATCCTATACCTATTACTTATACCTCTTAATAATAACCTTTTATTACTATTTAAGTCTTAGGAAGTAAATAAGCTTAACTTATATAAGCTAAAGGTAGACTATAGGGTTATACTTTATACTAATAAAAAAGGGTAGGAACTACCTATACTATTTAGGCTGCTATATAGTATATTATATATAGAGCTATTAATACTAAAGAAGATACTAAGGGACCTCTTAAATAAGGGTTTTATTTAAGTAAGTAGCTTTAAAGTAAGGGCGCTAGTCCTATTTATATATAAGCTAGGAGGCGGGATATAGTTCTATTATAACTATAGGGCTTTAAATATAATTATAAGGCTAGACCGCTACCCTTTACCCTTAATCTTAAATATACTTTATAATATCTTAAAAGTAAAGTAGTTTATAAAGCTAGATATAAAGTAAGCGTTTTATAAGGTATAGATCGTATAGGGAAATAAGTAAAAAACAGCGTTTAATATATACTATAGCTTATTTAAGTAGCTTATAATACCCTTTAGCCTCTTAGGTACGCTTACTACCTTCTAGTATTATATTAATAATATACTTAAGAACTTCCTTAATAAGTTTACCTTTATATATATAGATAATATCCTTTTCTATATAAGTAGCTCCTATAAGGATTATATATAAAAAGTATAAAGGGTCCTAAAGCGCCTTTAGCTTTATAAGCTCTACCTTAACTTAAATAAGTATAAGTTTAAGGTTAAGAAGGTAAAGTACCTTAGCTTTATTATTTATACTAGTATAGGAATATAAGTAAACCTTATAAAGATCTAAGTAATCTAGGACTAAGTAGTACTAACTATATAGATAAGCATATAAAGCTTCCTTAGGTTTATAAACTATTATAGGATATTTATTAAGGGCTTCTCTTATATTATAATACCTTTAAATAAGATTACTAAGAAGAGGACCGCCTTTTATTAAGGGCCTATATAAGAGGGAGCGTTTTATATACTTAAGAACCTATTCTTATAAGCCTTAGTATTACTTTAGTAGGACTTTAATAAGTATATAATAGTTAAAGTAGATTATAGCGGCTAGGCGCTTAAAGGGACGCTTTCTTAAGAAGTAAAAGGGTAAAAGTAACTAATAGCGTTCTACTCTTATAAGCTAACCCTAGTAGAGCGGAATTATACTATTTATAATAAAGAGATATTAGCGATTATTAGCTACTTTAAGTAATAGTAAGTAAAGCTATAAAGCTATAAGAGCTTTAAGGTTCTAATAAACTATAAGAACCTTAAGTACTTTATAACCTACTAGTACCTCTTAAAGCGGTAAGCCTACTAAGCGGAATACTTCTTATACTTTAACTTTACGATTAAGTACTAGCTAGGGTAGGACTTTATAATACTAAACGTGCTTTCTTAAAGGGATTAAAACTAGCTAATAAGAGTAGATATTAAGGCGCGAGATCTATAGCTTATCTTATAAGAAGCTTTATAGACTTATATAAGAGCTTTCTTAATAACGGAAGGTAAGGTACTAGTAAATAAGTACCCCCTTATACCCTTACCTTAGTCTAAGGAAGAGGGATAGATCGGCCTAAAAGCGCGCGTAGTAAGGGTATTCTAAGATAAGGTCCTTTAACGCTTATAAGATAGGATATTATCTTTAGATCGTACTTATAAAAGTATACGCCGCGCTATTAAGTCTAGCGCTTAACGCTTAGATCTAAAGCTAAAGCTAAAGATATAGGTAGCTAACTATTATATCGACCTATAAAGGCATCTATATTAGCGGGGGAGACTATAAGTACTAAGTATACTATATACTATAAAAGCTAAGGAGAAAGATAGACTACTAAAGCTAGATAAATAAAATAAGCTTTAAGGGAAGCTAGTTTAGCTTATTTATAACTTTAGTATTATAGGTTACCTAAGCTAGTAGGGTATAGTAGTAAGCCTTATAAGGGATTCTTAGCGGCTAGAAACTATAGCTTATTTCGCTTAGGTAAAAACTAGCCGCCCGCCTTATATCCTTTTTAGGTTTATATTTAACCTAGTACTTAACGACTAGTAAGGTAGATTATCTTACTAAATAGCGTAGCGTCCTACCGTGTCCTTAAACTTTATCTTAGACTAATTATACTTACCTTTTTAGTAGTAGATATAAGCTAATTAAGGATCGGGCTAAGCGCGCTAGTAGTTCTCCTAGAGGTCCTCCTTCTTAGCTAGGCTAAAAGTATTAGTTACTATTGCTTAGGCTCGCTAACGGATTTCCTTAAAAGAGTATATCTTAAGTTATTTTTACCTTAGTATAGCCTTAGCTCTCTTAAGCTTAAACGGCTACCTTAGCCTCTTCTCCTTATCCTTCTCTTTTTCTAAGGCTATAGTTATAGCTCTCTACCTCTTTACCGGCCTCTTAGCTAGTATAGCCTCCGCCCCTCCCTCGGCCTAAGGCCTTGCCTCTACTACTTAGCGCTCTTATAAACTCTTAGGCCTCGCTAGATAGGCGCCCTAAGCGCTATCTTATACCTTCTATAGTTTTAAATAAGTATAGCTCTATGCTAGGTATATACTTTAATAGAGCGTATACTAAATAAGGATCTCCTTAGTCTTCGATTAATATATATCTTTACCTTCCTTATACGCTAATACTCTATATTAGCTATATATTGCCTTTATATTATAGTACTTAGTAATATATTTAATTTAGTAGTACTTAAAGTACTAATAAGGCTATATTATATTTTTATATAGTTCTATATTAAAGATCTTTAACTAGATTACTATACCCTTATTATAGAGTCGATTTACCTCTTCTATACTTTTTATAGTTAAGATAAGGGCCGTCTTAGGTATACGTTTAATATAGGGTTTCTTTATATATAGCTAGATAATAGAAACGCCGTTAGCCCTTATAATTTCCTTCTTTAGTACCTCTTTTCCTCTTTTCTTTAGCGCCCTTACTAAGACCCCTTTAACGATAACTATAAGGCCCTTACTTATAAAGGTAGCTTTTACTCTAAACGCTAATTAGAGCTAAGCTTAGTTACTTCTTTAAGGCGCAGCGTTCTCTTAAAAGATAATAGTTATATCCTTAATTAGGAGTCTCTATACCGCTACTACTTCTCCTTTACCTTAAAGGTATTAGTTAACTACCTATACTATTTATTTTAGTCTATACTATTTAAGGGAGGCTTCGATTATGTCTTACTAGACTATAAGCTACTACTTATATTAGTTTAAGAGTAAGTTTTCTATGACTATACGTTCCCTACTTAGGGCCGCTACTATAGCGGCTTAGGTCTAGGGCTAAGGCGTTAGCTAAAAAAGAAGGCCTTACTTAAGGGCCTTTAAGACTACGTTTATAATAACGGACTTAATATTACTTAAGGTCGGGCTTAGTAACGGCGCCGCCCTTACTTTAGTAGCTAAGAGCCTTTATATAATCTTTTAGATAAAGTTATAGGCGACTCTTTATATATATTTAATAATACTAGCCTTTACTTTATTCTTAGTAATTAGCTCGAAATCGCCCTAGTTTAGTCCTAGGCCTATTATATTACTATATTCCTACTACGATAAAAAAAAAATTGTTTAGCGGTCGCTTACTTCGTTAACTACTATTAGGTCGCCCCCTATCCCGCCCTCGTCCTAAGGCTAATACGCTCTTAAATAGGTATTATATTAAAGTAATTAAGTATAATAAATAGATATAATAATTATATATACTCCTTTCTAGTTATTTAAGGCTTTAAGGAGTATTTAAATATATAGATACCTCTTCTAAACCTTAATATAGCTATTAATATAGCCTTACCTTAATATTTATAATATCTTAATACTAAATTATAACTTCCCTTAGCCTTATATATCGTAATAGGTTATCCTTATATAGATATATATATATAGCTACTTAGACCTTATTTATATAGGCATCCCTTACCTAATTAATAGTTATTGCCTAATAGTAGTCTATACTACGAGCCTTATTTTTAAAAGTAGCTAGGCAAGGCTAGTAAGAGCTACCTATTCGTATCTATTATTAACCGTAGCATTTAGGAAGGATTACTTAGATAGAAAGGGAGTAATAATAATCTAGAGGGTGCGAGGCGAAGGAAAGCTATAAGGTATGGTTCTCTTTATAATGAAATTGTGTGATCTTAGGGAAGCGTAAAATAATATATAAATAATTAATATCCTCTCGGAACTTCGTTCCTCAAGGCATAAAAGGCACGCTCCTCAAGGCATAACCCTTCGCACTAACCGCGACGGAGTATAGCCTCAAACCACTTGCCTATTCTATCCCTCCCTACCTCGTCTAGCGAGGTGACTAACCCGACATAGCCGTCGGGACGAACCACGACGGCGGCTCCAAGACCCTTGTCGTTAACACCGTATCCCCGGTATGCTCTGCCGTGGCCGTCTGCAAATGTCTTTTCGTAGTCCCACCCTAATTTATCGTCAAATGGGTGGTATACATCGTGGAGGTCCGTGAGTAGCTCGACGCGCTCCCGCGGTGCCGAGTGCACTAGGAGGACGTCGATAACGGACGGGTCGCGGGCCGCCTTAAACTTGCTAGCAGCCCCCGGCATGGACAAGACAAGGAAGCGCGGCTGTAGTGACACCGATAGCCAGGCACCGAGCGAGTTGACGAGCGCTAGCTGCGGGGGTCTCGAAATATCCCCGCCAAAGATAACGATGCGAAATCGGCCGTCCGACGGCATGCGGTGGTGGAGCTCCCACGGCCGCGCGTCCGCCTGGCAGAGAGCCCTATGCGATGCGAAGCGAGTGCCAGGCTGGCAGTTGGTGGCGAGCGCGAGGTGTTGTTGTTGGTCCTCGTCCGACATATTCTGCGTAGAACCATCATCGGGAGGCGACTCGTGACGTTTTTCAACTATCGAGACCAGAAGGTTGGGTGTATAGCGTATGCCAATACCCGTCGTAAACTAAACAATTAGCTACGGATAATATAAATATAGCCTTAGTGGCCTAGATCTGGGGGCGTAAGGTAGGGGTATAGGGGTATCTTACCATCTTATTCATGCGAGACGCCTTTTCGAACTCGGCCATAGTCACGCCAGTCTCGTCAAGGATATCCTTAGCCGGCCGGCCGACGAATAGCTGGGAGAGCTTTTGGTCTAGGGCAATGAGCTGCTTCGCAATCCGCCGCCGCTCTAGCTCGTACGTAGCCAGTACTTCCCGCCGCAGCACCCGCTTACAAACCAGTCCCAACTTCCAGCCCAAATTATAAGTATCTTGAATAGCGGTATTCATGCCTTGGCCGGCCTTGGGAGAGTGCGTATGGACAGCGTCTGCAACGTTGTGGCATTAGTATGATAGGCGTGCGCGCACATATGCCTACTCGTAACAGGCAGGAGGAGCTTTGCATATAACATAGCAACACGCACGCGGAAGAGGGAATGAGGGGCCAAGGCTAGATACGTGTACAATAGCAAACTTACCCCCTGCGAGAAAGATGCGGTCGAGTTTGCTAAATCGGTTACCGGAACGTTGTCCGATCTGATACGCCGACCACCTAGGGTGCCAGTCAACCACAGGTATAAAGTCAATAAGGCTATGTGCATCCTTATCAAGCTTACCAGTCGATATAGTGATAGTCGAGCGAGTATGGGCTTAGGATCCTACGCGCAGTTCGAAAGATGACCTCGGATGTAATTTTTGACCTATCCGCTGCACCTGATCCCGTAGACACCTCCTTGAGCTGAATATATAGCCTCACTAGATGGTTTTCTCGTGGAACCACTATGACGGTGCCTTCGCTGGCGCTACGGACCGTGCAAGGGATTCTGATATCGGCTGCGGGGAAAGGTCGTTAGCTATTTCAACTACTCATGGATATGCAACTGGCTACAGCCCTCGATCAGGATTCTCATGCCTGCGTCCACTCCCCTTGCAGATCCGTCCACCCATTTGCTAGGCTGCACCAGGCTTTCTATCCATAAGAGTATGGAATAAGTTAACCCATATGGAACTTTCCATACGAGACTTCTATACTCCATACGCACAGAATAAGCTTCCATGCAAACATGAATGCCATATTCCATCTTCTATACGGGCCTATGGCTCATGGAATATAGATAGGAAGCCTAGGCTGCTCGTTGTGGTTCCGGTGTCCCAAGGACGAAAACAGCAAAGCAGACAGGACTTACGGAAATCGGTAACTGGGACGATATCTAGGACACCCCTTGATCGATAATTAGCCCATTGTTATGTACATCGTCAATCGACGAAAAAATATTGTAGAGAAGGGAACAACTTACCAGATAGAGTCTGTCGTTTCGCCCACCATCTCGTATCCCTCACCTAGCGCCTGTCTTACCCACGAGTGCGTTCCGTCGCAGCCGACTAGGTACCTAGCGCGGACAGTCTCTTCTTGCAATTCAAGTGCTCTATTGATAGCACCGCTACGACAGTCGAAGATGGCCTGGTTATCATCTGTCGCGTCGCTCCCGTGCAACCTGTCGCCCAGGTTGCTCAGCCGCTGCATCGGCGTAGCCCCGTCCTCAGATAGGTGACGTAGTGTAACCTCAATTGGGTATGCGTCGTCGTCCGTTTTACTCGTCCCTTCACTGCCTGGGCTCTGCTTGCTATCGTGTGCGTTTGCTCTAGCGACTTGTTCCTCGTCGATACGTAGCGCCGAAGGCATGACATTGCGGTCGATGTGAACCGACATTGACGCCTCGCGGATGGCGTCGAGCAAGAATGTCTCTATATGGCCTTGATGTAGGAGGCACCAGGTGAAACGTGACAGGTCGGGCTGCGAGGTCGGGGCGCGGGCATCGCGCCTAATGATGCCATTCTTATCGGGGTTCCAGAACGAGGCTTCTGCGAGTAACTGCATCAATTACCTGTTCATGTTTGTTCGCCAGCACACCTTTTGTGGAAGGCGGGATCGATGTTAAGGTGGCCCTCGTACCATGCCTGTGGTACGACTCCTTCGACACCCTTTCCCCGATACCGAAGCTGTCGAGAATCTCCATGGTCCGCACGTTCAATCTAACAGACGTAATATTAGCTTTCTTATTGGCTTTCTCTTCGTTCGCGCCAAGTAATATTGGAGGGTGCGCTACCCATCTGCATGACCGGAAAAGACTTTGTCGGCTCGCTTGTCGACGACGCGGGCCTTGATACCCAACTTTGCCATCCACAACGCCATCATCAAACCCGCCGGCCCGGCTCCTACAATTAAGACATCGACTTTGGATGTCCTTCCCGTAGAGAAGGTCATGATGGCGACGTGTTGTATCCCAAGAGCGAGAGCAGAGTGTATGATATGCTATCTTAGGTATCTCGCACGGGCAGAAACTAGATATCTGCATGGGGAGTAAGAGGGGAAGGAAAGTGAGACTCGCACCCAACTCTCAATTCCCCATTCCCCCGACATCAGCCACAGCGCCTCCGATGTCGCTCACGTCATTCGATGCGGAATAATGTACCCAGCGTTCCCAACATTCTTGCCGGAACTGGTGACGCCGGGTTACCACCTCTTCGCGCACGAGAGGTGCGGAATTTGAGTTGATTAATGACCAGCATGACAGCACGAACGACAATGTGGCCCACTCGACAAACACGGCTGACGTGACGAGAACCAGCGCCCGCGGTCGCTCTCTGAGACTTACAAAGGAGGGCAGCCGGGCTGAGGGCCCGGAAAGACCCCCGACGTATGAGAGACAGGCAAAAGGCTGCAGCCAGGCGCAATTTCCAGGACTGGTGGGCCGCGGCGGCCCCGAGCAGCTACAAGACCCTAGAGCTCGAGCCTTGCTCGGGTACCCCCCGGAGCTGCACCCCGAACGACAACACCTTCACTATTACGTGCTCGCCGTAAGGAGCGGGCACGGGGGCTTCGCTGACTACCATGAAAGATTCGACCACGAAGAGGCCCGGATCGAATGCTCGTGTGGGAGGTGAGAAAATGACCGACACCCCTTTAACTGCCAAAAAGTAGGCACTCGACACCGCCTAAGGCTAGTCCCCACGGCGGCCGAGGCTAACAACCAGGCATTTGGTACTTTGTACAACCTTGGCGTTATGCTTCGGGGAGCAGGGATAAATGATGATGTTCTGATGGCATGGACGAGGTGACAGCGGCGCCTGGGAGAGCTGAGCTGCTGGCCCGTCAATCTCCTTCCAAAACTGTACAATACCATTGCGTGTCAATATCTGCTTGACAGAAGGACCAGTAATAGCCACATTAATTCATATAAGTTAATGCAGCTATTCTGCATGTTTCACTGCCGTCGAGGGCGGAGCGCGGAGTAGAAATACGCCAGCAGACGCAGTATTCGTGAGTTGGCCATGGCACCCCCGATGCCCAACGCGACCCAAGCGCTGAGCGGCTTCCGTGGTGAGCAAATTCAAATCGGGGTGCAGTAATTACATCATGTTGCCTTCGAGCTGAGTTCTATGCTTTGGTGAGCGGGTTAGTGGGTATCTGAGTGAGTGAACAGCTGCGAGGCAGTGCAGCCCATGCTTCTATGGACGAGAACAAGCAGGCCAACCACCCACCAGACAGAGCGGTCACAGGTGCGAACAGTACGGTAAATTTGAATACTTTGTACTTTGTATACGAAATCGTGCCACACAACACATTTCTACCTGTTTTATACAAGTTATATCAACCAAAGTTCCCGCTTCTTCCTCCGCCAGTACCATCTACCTTTGACGGACGTGATCTTCATCGCTAGCTTCAACGAGAGGAGAATCCAGTGCGACAGCCATGGCCTGCAACCCAACTTTGAGGGAAATTCCCATTACCTTGGAATACTTGGCGGATATTCAGCTCTACAATACAGAGAAACCTTACTACTTGGCTCCGAGACCGGGATTCGATAACGAGGAAGCAACCAACTTGGAGTATGCAACTTGTCATAACATTTTTATACACGACGCGCGCGGTCATGAAAGCGAATTTACCCTTGATACACATTCCTTTACTTTTAAAACCCTGCCTTCAAGCGTTGTGTACGATAAGTCCGCGGAGGCCAACTTGGCGTATATGAGAGAAACAGTCGAGCTCATGCGTCGTTGGTTCGAGGCAGAACGAATCATATGCTACGACATTCGGGTTGGTTTTCCCTGTCACTGTTCTTGTTGCCGTAACTCATGCTATTTTCACCTGGTCAGAGACGCCTCAATACACCCATGGCAGCTGAACAGAAGACGTCCAACGACTTCGCTCTCCCTACCCCTGCTGTAACAGCCATCCATATAGGTGAGCAACTGCTAGGCCTTTCGTTCAATGTTCAAACGAAGCATCTGACCGGTTTCGAGATCAAACGAGAGAAGGCGGTTTCCATCGCATCAAGCGCCACCTGACCGAGGACGAACAAAAGACTTACCTCTCGGGCGGTTACCGTGCGAGGATTATGAAGTCCGGCAGCTCGCACATCCTTCCTGCAGCTAATAGCTCGGCATGTCTGACTCCCTAATAGTGTCTGGCGGCCATTATTTCGCAAGATCAGCGACGCGCCGCTCGTATTCTGCGACGCACGCACCCTTGTCGAAGACGATCTCGTCCCAGCTGACCGTGTATCGCCCGAGTACGTCGGTGAGGTATACTACGTCCGACCATCGGCCCGACAGAGATGGTACTGGCTGAGCGACATGTCGCCTGACGAAATCGCCATCTTCGTGAGCTTTGATTCGGAAAGGGCTTCGCCAACACTACCTATCAACTGTCTGTTGGAGTATAAAAATCCTGCGTCTACTGTCCGAAGTGCTGATGCTAGTAAATACCAGATTGTGCTCATGGGTCCTTCAAGAGTCCCCTTGCCTCGTCCACTGCCCCGCCACGGGAAAGTTTGGAGGTCAGACTCATCATCTTTACAAAGAAAGGTGCAGAACTCCGGCATCCAAGGCAACGAATAGAGCGCGTTCTGCATGCGCCGATGTGAGGCGGGGTATTACATGCGACTACCACACCACCTGCATTTCTAATTTGATGGCTTGCTCAACCCCGTCCTTTATGACGTCGATTCGGAATGCTGGGCATAGCTACTTCGTACTCCAGAATGTATATTTCAATGAGAGGACACCCCTTGCATTCATGAACTGTAAATTCACTTGGATCATCTCTAGTTGGGTTGTGACTCCAAATTCCGGAAATCTTTTACTTGGGCATATGCCCAGTTGCCTCAATGGACAAGGAATCTACTCATCCCGCGCCAGTACGCGCGCAGCCGTGGAAGGCTATTATCAAGGAGCCTGCGCCTAAGCAAGCCTCGGCAGCTGAAGACGTGGAGATTCGTCTGGCCGGCGAACGAGACAAGCAAAACGGCTACGGAGGATAATCTAACTGGTAAGTACCTTGTAACAGTCATGGATTATGCCCTATTATCATATACGGCAATTAACCATTGTCTGTCAATAGACGGTCCGGTGGACCGTGGTTATGAGGGGACATGAGTGAAGTTATCTGGGTCGGAGGCAGCTAATTGGTGCGGGGAGCACATGAGAGGACCTTGGTGCCTTGGTGCATGAAAACATATGAAGGTTACTCAACTTACTCTCTTTATAGCCATATCCTGCACGTGACACGGTCCATGACCAACTTGTGTACATGTAATTGGAGTGTCTCTGGAAGGGCCAAAGTTCGCCAGCATAGAATTTCTAAGGCAGTCAGTAAGACGGCGGTACGAACCTGGTATAGCGATATGCTTTGTGCCAAGCCGGACGCGTACTCTTGCCGTCTCCGTACTAGCCACCGACTGGTCTCCACATTTGCCACATGTTCATGGGTTCTGAACGCCGTGCCATGTTCCTCCACTCGTCACTCGCGTTATCCGCGATGGGAGAAGCGTCGATTTCGTCGACAACAGTAAACCCATGTTTCTTGTAGAGCGGTAGCCCATATACCGTCGCATTCAGCCACATTTCCACACCCATCTGGTCCGCCTTCTGAATGCCCCAGTTCATCATTAAGTCGGCCACGCCCTGATGTCGATAGTCGGGATGTGTAAATATAGTAGTCAGAACTAATGTTGCGAGGCTTAGATTGCTAGCAGGCATGATGATTTTGGTGGCGAATACGTACAAACCTGCGGCCTCGACTCCACCTTCTTTCTTACTGCATGGATACGCTCAAGTGCTGCTGCGACATAGTCTCGCTGTCCTCCCTCTGGGTACCAGGAGACCTGGGAATGCGAATCGATTTTTTTGAGGGTATATGTCGGACAAATTTTCCACAACGCGCCTCCCACAATCTTGCACTCGCTGTTGACGACCTTTTGCCAGTAGCTCGAGGGATCCGATTTGTGCCAGTCCAGTCGGCGCCTTGTGCATTCCCTGAGCGAATCTGCTCGGGCAGTCGGACCCGTACCATGAATGGGGCAATAGAGGCGGAAGAAGTTTTGATTTGGCGTTTCATAGGAAGCCCACTCGCACTCAATAAGTTCGTCGAAATCGGAAGTAGGGTCGACCTCGATTAACTTGAACGTCATGGCGAGGTGGGTGGGCGGAGCAGGTGAGGGAGGTTGAAAAATGGACTGCCCACGGTTGATTTTCAAGCACGGGTTGGTTCCTTGACCGTGGAAAAGGGGGTACTTTGCCTCTCACACATCCCGTCGCGAAGCCTGGCCTGATTTCGCAGATCCCGGAGATATCCCTTGGCAAGAGGGATCTAGGAAGCTGAAAACAACCGGTGTAGAAGAAGGAAGAAGGAGCTGAAAGGAGGTGCAGAAAGGAGGGCGGGGGAGAGAGGGGAAGCAAAAGTGGCGATAGCTTCCTATAGAGGTAGCAAAAATATAAGGACTTACCGGCAACGGCTAGAAAAGAGAGGAAAAGTAGCGAAAAGCTTAGTAATCGATTAGATATTAAAGACTTAGCTAAGGAGGATTTTCTTTATTAATTAAGATACTAAAGAAATATAAAGGGGGGGTGTTAGATAGAGAAAAGAGAGGGGATTAAGGTTATATAATAATTAATTCTCTACTACTATTATTGCCTTTTAAATATTTAAATAACTTTATATTATATATTTAATCCCTTTATTATAGTTTAACTAAAAATAACTTTCTATTAATTTCCTATTATTTATAGTATTATTTCCTAACGATATATTATATATATAATATTATATATAATATATATATATTATATAAATCTTAGTTAGTTAGTTAGTTATACTTTAAATCTTAATATAGTTAGTTATAGCTTAAGGTATATATAGTTATATACGTTTAGTTAAAGCTTAAGAAAATACACTTAATTTAGTTTAAGCTATATATAGCTAAATATAGGTAATACTATTAATAGCTATTAATAGGATAAAGTTAATATAGCTTAAGGATATCTAGACCTCTTTCTTATTAACTTATACGCCCTTAATACTATCTTAGAAGACCTATACCCTCCTAGGCTATTAGTATAAGAGTTATAAAAGTAGTTAGATAAGTAAGAAATACTAAGGAGGCGGTTAGATAGCTAGAAAGTACTAAGGGGTAGTAGGATAGCTAGAGGGATACTATATAAGGTAGCTATATATATTTTTAGTAGGGAGAAATTTATTTATATATAACTAAATCCCCTCCTTATAAAAAGGACCTTTTCCTCTCTTCTTCCTTAGCCTAAAATCTTACTTTATTATATAAATATACTTTTTACTTCTCTTTAAGAGACCTTTACCTCTTGCCTTTCTAAACTTAGCTTAGCTAGTTTAATAGTAGTAAAATAGGGATCCCTTATATATTCTTTACCCTCTTATCTAAGAACTATCTTTAATATTTTAAAGAAATATCCTTTATTTATTAAGAACTTGCTTTTATATTATATAAATATAAATAATCCTTTTAAAGGTTAATCTTTACCTTCTTATCTTAGAACTATCTTTAATACCTTAGATAAATACCCTTTATTTATTAAGAACTTACCTTTATACTATATAAATATTAATAAACCTCTTTAAGGTTACCTTTTACTTTCTTTAAGATTAGTTAAAAATAGATACTTTAGTTAAATCCCTTTAAATTTAATAATTCTATAATAGTTTTACTATAAAGACTATTACGCTACGTAGGCAAAAGTAGAACGCGCTCCGATAGGTGCGCTGTAATTAATATATATAACTCTCGCGAAGAGAGATACGAGATATAAATGCACTTCTCGCATCTCTCTTCGCGAGAGTTATGAGCCCGGGAGGGGATGGCACACCACCCCTGCAACTTCCGGTAACTGCGCGCGGTGCGGGGTTCAATCCCCCGTAGGCAACTACCTCTCTTAGATTTCCTTGGGTTATTGGCGCGGCGCTTGGTGTTCGACTCCCGCGTCTTGGGCTACGGGCCAGGGCTCCCGGCGGAGCCGCGATCCCTGAGGGGGTGTGTCGGAAGACGCGGTTGCCAGATATGTGTCATTTGCAGCGCACCTGTCGGAGCGCGTTCCACTTTTGCCTGCGTGGCGCAATGGTCTTCGCGACAATAACTAATAACCGCGTTTTCCGACATACCCCCTTAGGGATCGCGGCTCCGCCGGGATTCCTAGACCTAAGCCCACGACGCGGGAGTCGAACACTAAGCACCGCGCCCATTACCTAGGGAAATCTAAGAGAGAGAGGGTTATACGGCTATCTACGGGTATTACCCCGCAACGCGTAGTTACCGGAAGTTATAGGGGGTAGTTTGCCACCCCCTCCCGGGCTTATAACTATCGCGAAGACTATTACGCTACGTAGGCAAAAGTAAAACGCGCTCCGATAGGTACGCTATAATTAATATATATAACTAATAACCGCGTTTTCTAATAAGTTTATATAAGATAGTAAAGATAATAAACCTTTTAAATATATTAAGAGTATAATTATATAAGTACTAGTTTTAACTACTTTTAATTTAAAATAATAAATTAAGCTTAAAACTAATATATTAATTAATTAATTAAGATTATATAAATAATCTAACTAAAGGTAATTAGAACTTTAATAGTAAATAAAAGGAAAAACTAAAGTACTTAAGGGAAAACCTTTTCTTTCTTTATTACTAGTTTACCTTAATACTAAGTTATAGTTATAATATATAAAAACTTATACTAGCTATCTTAAGATTAGTAGTTAGTTAGACTTATATTTACTTTACTATAAAGTAATTATAGAAAGTAACCCCTTTATATATATAAGGTTAGTAATATTAATTAGTAGTATAAGTATTATTATTAATTATATAATTATCTTTAGCTTTATTTTAATTTAATATCTTTCTAAGCTTATATTATTCTCTTTTATATAAAACTTAGTAAGCTATTATTATTATACTAGCCTTTAGCTAAGCTAGTAGCTAGTTTATTATACTAACTTTATACTAAATATTTTAAATTACTAATATTAGCCTTAGGTTTTTCTTTTCTTTTAAGGTATATAAGTAATAGTAGAATTTTAGTAAATTAAGGAATTATATAATACTACGTAATAAATAAGAAGGAGGGGTATAGGGTAGGATTATTAATAGAATTTATTAGTAGCATATTTATTATAAGATACCTTATAACTAATAATCTAGGTACCTATAATAATATCTACTTCCTTTAAGGAAGTTATTACTAACTCTTTAAGACTTCTTATAGAAGAAAGAACCTAGAAGTTACTAGGTAAACTCTAGGAAATTACCTAGAAATCCTAGAAATAATAACCTAGTAGATTAATAAATTTTTATAAAGACTTCCCCCTATAAATATAATATATAGGAAATATACTAGGATTTCTTAAGTAATAATAGCTTCCTAGGGATTACCTTAATATTTCCCTAAGAAGTTACTATAAGATTATAGTAGGGAAACTATAAGGAAGTAACTATACCTACTTAAGGAAAGTACTAGGAAATATTATAAGATATATTATATTAATATCGTATAATTATAAGATTAAGATATTACTTAGTTATAGCCCTAAGTAAGGTCTTACGCTCGCTATAGTATATATAGAGGATAGAGAACCCGCTAAATCTTAGGTAGGTAGAAAAGAATATATATAGTTATTACTAATCTTACTTTAACTTATAAGACTAATAGCTAGTTTATATTTAATATATATAATAATATATAGTAGCTAGTTTATATAATATATTTAAGTATATTTAATAGCTAGTCTATTTAGTTACCTATTTAACTTATACTTAATCTAAGTAAATAGTAAGGTTAAGTACTAGCCCTATACTAAGGGACTAGTATATAATAATATTAGTATATAAAAGTCTTATAAAGAGAGATATAAGAAGTATATTATTAAGATTATACTAATAACCTATTTAAAGGTATCTAGAACTTTAGCGTTAAATAAGAGGGAAAAACTAAAGTACTTAGAGGAAAACCCTCTCCTCTTTAATAGATAGTCCGCCCTTATACTAGGTCGCGGTTATAATATATAAGAAACTTATACCGGCTATCTTAGGTATCGTTTTAGTTAGTTAGGATCGTATTAGCACTAGTAGACTAATAAGTTAACCTCCCTTTAGAAAGCCCTAAGCTTAGCTTAATAGGCGTATAGGCTAACCTAGGATAAAGAGAGCTAGAAGAGCTTTATAGAGGCCCGAAATAGCTTTAATTATACTATTAAGGCTATTAAAAAGTAATACTAAGAGAGCTTCTTAATAAAAGTAATAGGAAAGGATATCTTTATAGCCTTTTCCTATACTAAGGCTAAAGCTAACCTTACCCTTCTTAGTATCTCTTATATAAAAGAAGGGATAGAGGTAAAAGCTAATACCTTTACGAAAAAATACGAGGCCTTCCTAACAACCCTTTTTCTAACCCTAGACCCTAGCCCTAGCCCCCCTTTTAGCCCCTCTTAGAGCCTAGAAAAAGAAGAGCCTCTAGGCTATATAGGTAGTAAGGGCATAGCTAAGTAGGACTAGCTAGAGCTTAAGGACCCTAAGATTAAGAGGGCTATTTTTAGCTCTTTTAATAAGAAAGCCCTTAGCTTAGACTACCTTAGCTTCCTTCTTATTTAATACGCCTATAAGGCTATTCCTACGGTTTTTAATAGGGCTTATAAAGCCCTATTTAACTAAGGATACTACCTTAAGGTATAGAAGGAAGCTATAGGAATTATACTTCTAAAGTAAAATAAGCTAGACTATATTATCCCTAAAGCTAATAAGGTTATAAGTCTACTTAAGTGCTTAGGAAAGGTCCTCGAAAAGCTATACGCTACTTAGCTAAGCTATCTAGCTAATATAACTAGGCTTTTAAACCCTATATAGCTAGGGAGACGAAAATAGCGGTTAGCTATAAATACGGCCTTCCTCCTTCTATAATATATCTAAAAGAAGTAAGAGTTTAATAAGAAGGCTATTACTAGTACCCTCTTATTAAATATAAAGGGCGCCTTTAACTTTATATTAAAGAAATAGCTTATAAGGGTCTTAAGGGACTTAAACCTCCCTAAGGCCCTTATAAGCTAAGTAGACTACTTCCTTACTAAAAGGAAGATCTAGCTAGCCTTTAAAGGGCAGGTCTA